TTGAGTGTATTTCAGTAGGTCCTTCCAGAGCTGGACATGGGCTTTGTGGTATGAGATGAAAGAGTAAATATAGGCTGCTGCAAACTGGTCATGCCTTTTAATATATGATCTGAGAATGCTAGAGAAGGATCGTAGACAGTTTTGTGAGGTCAAAAAGGCAAACAACTTCCCATGTGTAAGCTGTGGGACTCTAACAGCATCACACATGTGAAGGTCTTTCAGCTTTTCTTTTCTGGTACTTGCTGATTGGTTCTCATCGTTGTACCTCAGAGAAAAGCGCAGAAATAATAGGGTTTGGGGCGAACGATCATTCGTGATGAGATGAGGAATCGGGGAAGTCTCTTTCAAAGGTGGCCAACTTATAGTTCTCCAAAAAAGCATTTATCACAAGCAAAGTAAAAACTTGTTAACGAGTTCAGAATTCTTTCACTGTGAAATTTGGTGTGCTGCCATTCAAGGCTACAGGGGGCAGCCAGGATTCACTTTTGTGGTGTTATCACAATTTCATGGGAGAAATACCTCTCCGTTACCTAGATTTAGATTCATTTAGATTGGTAGATCATTTTTATCTGCTCTATAAAATTGCTGGTAGCTAGTATGTATGTAATATCCCACTAGCATCTTCCTCTTTCCTGCCCTCTAAGGCTATATGTAACACACACTGTATTTGCAAGTCTGAAGTCCTTGAGGCCTTAGCTCTCCACCCCCAAAATCCCTGCATCTCAGGAAAAGCCCAAAATGGGGAAGACAGAGGTGATGCCACTCCTGCTTCGGAAGGTTTGCTTACACACTTGGAGAGAGCAGAGAGATTTTCCCCTTTGACTAAAATGCACAGAAATAAGTATAACTTGAGAGTTGGGTTGTGTTGATATGCAGTGATACAAAATTTCAGACTATTTTTAGTGGAAATATCAGTATGCAATTAAGTTTCATTTCCTTTAACAAACAAACTACTAATGTTTTTTTTAGCCTTTTATGCCTGTACTTAGTTTATGCTTTAACTTTCCAAATAATCTTGCTGTCTCTTAAAGATTGCTGTCTCAGATGGATAGTAGCATTGATGTTGCACATAGACATTGTCCATGATACTAAAAATGAAGATTAAAGTCTTACGTGGCATTCCTTGGGTCCATATATATGTGAAAATGTATAAAAATAAATGCTTGAGTTGATTTTCTTTTTTTTTTTTAATACGTAAAGCACCCACGTTTGCATGTTTATTTGCGCTGGTTGTCGTCTTCTTTTCCTCTTCCCTCCAGAACCGGAATTGTGATTTGAGAATAACTTCTGTAACTGGACACCCACTGTGTGTGGTTATTGTTTCTAAGTTGAGAAAAGGCCTGATGTTCATAAAATTCCAACCTTCTTCTACAATTTAATGATGAAGGCTGAATGCTCTTGTGCATGTTTATATCTTGATCCATGATCATCACAGCAAACAAAAAGTACTAACAAAATTTTATGTTGCAGCACTTTCTGACACTTTTGGAACAATAAACTACTGTCAGTGTTTTTTCCCTTCTCATGAACCTTTGTCTCATCTTTAACTGAAAACATTTCTTGGTGAATGTTACTTTCTGGGCCGGCTACAGGCAGCTTACAATGGCCAACTTTTTGCAGAGTGTATCTGATATTTTGACTATGCCAGTAATTGGTCTTCAATAGTAGCCTCTAACTGGTCCTTCAGAAGAAGGATGTGAAGTGCTGCAGTCAATGGATAAAGGGCAAATCTGCTCCTGTGAAGGCTATGCCCTAGTTCCTAGGGAGAAATAGGTTTTGCTATCACATGTGAATTTCTCTCCTTTCAGGAACCTTTCTGCATAACTAACTAGCCTATCCATCCAATCTCACTTGGCCTTTTTTCTGGGAAACACTTGTGATAAGTCTTTGCAGGTTTAGAGTAGAAAGTGCTTATGGATCTAAATCCTTTAGTGTAAAGGAATTAACGTTCTGTCTTTATTTCCAGGTCCCACGTATGGGCACTTTCATTGGTGTGTATTTGCCCTGCCTGCAAAACATCTTAGGAGTCATCCTTTTCTTACGTTTAACGTGGATTGTGGGGACAGCTGGGGTTCTCGAGTCTTTCATCATTGTATTCATGTGTTGTGCTTGTGTAAGTTAATCTTTTTCATTACTATTTGGCTGGATTTTCTGGTACCACAGTACTGCTAGACTGTCTCATATGAGTAGCAGAGTAGGATTTCTCGTTAATTGTTAAATATCACTGTAACTGAGAGGCGTGGGATGGGTTCAGAAGACATCAATCTTCCTTTATATTTAAACTTAGGTGCTGAATGTCGCTTGTCATTCCAGCTCTTATGGAATTTCCATTGAGCTGATCACAGTATAATTGTTTAGCTTCAATTATTTTATTCACTAACTGAACTTTCATGAGGTTTTATTAAATCAATTTTTAGCGTGTGTTTCTTGACTTTTATATTGCAACCTGAACTGTTCAGATTTTGGAACTTCAGAACAAACAAATATGAACTACAAATCTGTCCCACTGTCATGTTCATAAATTTGGTTTCTGAGTTGTGAAACCACTGATGGAAGGTGCACTGGAACAGTGATGCTTGATCAGTTTGTCACTGCTATTTAATTGGAATACTGAACGTTTTGTTCTAACTATACTGAAAACCCTCAGTGGTTTGTATTCTTCCGATTCTGTTTGAAGACCCTGCTAATTTAGCTGTTTGACACAGCTCTTAACTAAATTCTTCAGTGGAAGATACAGTGCTTGATTTATCTGGAAATTCCGTAGCCCAGGATATTTTTCAGTATTGGTTGCTGTAACAGTTCATACAAAGATATTTTATTTCCTAGTTTCCTTTGACCACTGTTCTCCTGTACTGTTTTTCAAAGAACATTTACTGTGTTAAATTTGCTCTACTTCATCTTTACGCAGACTATGCTAACTGCAATTTCAATGAGTGCGATAGCGACAAATGGTGTAGTTCCAGGTAAGTAAATTTTTTTTTAAGTCTTAAATGTAAGCTAACGATGCATGGTCAAATCTGTGATATGTAATTCCTGTGATCCTAGATATTAAAAAGCAGTGCTTGGAGATTGTTTAAAGTACTGACTTTTAAAATTTTTTAAATAAGTGATTCTTAAGGAGAGATGTAGTTTAAGTGGACCTTCTGGGAGATATGGGCCATAGAGCATATTTTTCAGTCACATGCTTCTCTTTGAACAAAAGATAGGATAGTAGAAAAGATAGCATTTTGAACAAATGGAGATTTGTCTTAATGCAAAGTAGATTTCTTTACAAATTTACAAATATGGCTTTTTGTCAGAATTCACTGAGATTCCATTTCTAAACAGTGGAACTAGTTACATTGTTTTCTGCAAGAATAGTAGGCAGTCTACTGGCAGAAAACTGCTTTCCATATGAGCACTCTAAATAATGCTCACTTCCTCTAACCTTCAGGATAAACTAAATAGATCAAGTTGTTCTGTCTCAATTGAAAAGCTGACTTTTTAGATGCAACTTAGTGCTTATAGCTCTTCCAATCTCTTCCATTTTTTTCGGCTTCTTAATCAAAATGCCAGAGTTCAGACAGTGTTATGAACTCCGAACTATTTGCTCAACAAAGTTCTCAAAAGACGTATCTCTTCTGAAAAAATTCATCTTCATTTACAGAGGTTACCCAGCTGAGTAAGGGGTTCCAGAACTGATGCATAAGTTGCTGGGCAAAATTCAACCCTACAACTGATTGCAGGATCCAAAACTCTTTCATGGATGCAGTACCCTATGTGAAATAGCTTCAGTAGGAATTTTTATACTTCAAATACTTGCATTTTATAGCAGAATATAGTTATCCTAATAATTTTCCAGATAATTGAAATATTCTGTTCTTTCTTTCTCTGTTACATATTTTTAAAAGCTCATTGTAGAGATTTTGTTTAAACTTTTTTGGTGTCACAGAAATCTTGGAAGTTGACAGCTCTTATACTAGACTGGTCTTGATTTTTTCCCTTGTACTCTTTTTTGTTGGCGCCCATTTCTTGGAAGACGGTTCCTGCTGGAATGTACAGAGGAAGCAGAAAGCACAAATAAGAACCTAGGACTGAAAGGGACCTTCTAAAAGCAGGTCGCAAGTCCCAGTAAACTCTTTAGTAAACTTATTGGTGATGCATCATGAAATTTTCTTTGGGTAGTTCATCATGACTGCTCATAGTGAAAAACAGTTTCAAACTCTCTCCTGTATTGATGAGAAGCCTGTTTCTTATTTGCAGGACTCTTTATTTGCCAGTGTACACTTGTTTAAACTAAATACTTCCTTTCTTTGCCTCGGAGTCCTCTCTTTCGCTCTCCATTGTCATAGTGACAAACATCCTGAATTTAAGGAAAGGTGTCTGGAGAACCAGAGGAGAGGAATTTGGATAAAGAAAGGCTGAAAGTTAGAGCCTTGTTGAATTGGAAGTGGGATAGGATAGTGTCTGTGATTGTAAGTGTGTGGTGGGGAAGGGCAGGTGGTCTTGTATGTGGGTGTTTTTTTTTTAAACATGGAAATTAGAAGAAAAATGAAAAATTCAGGGCAAAATGAACAGTATGTGAGTAGATGAGAAAAAGCATACTTTAAAAAAAATGCTTGTAACGAAGGTGGCAAAGGTTTCATGCCCAGAAGAGAAGAATGCATGTTAGTGAGACAAAATACATTTTATCCCCATCATCTCACTGGGGAGTTATTTTGCAAGGTGGTTATTTGATCGTGAACAGCTTGAAGATGGAAATTAAAGATTGTCACAGATAGGTGAGTCATCTAGAAAAAGAATACATAGGCAGAAACCAGTTTGCCTTTTTTACTTTTTTTTCCCCCCCTCACTGTTCATCGTTTGTTCCCCATGCATGCTGTTCATTCAGATCAGTTATATCCCCTCCCTGTCCTTGTGCTGGCAGGCTAAACAAGCTAAGAGTTGTCTGAACTGTTGGTTCACTGAAGAGCTGTGCCTCTCTTTTCCTTTCATTACTTTCTCATTATCACTATGGAATTAGATATTTTTTTCTTGCAGAGTTTATTTTCATTGAAGAGTTCCAGTGATTCTGTTGCCTTGTAAATTAAAAAGCAAAAATCAATATTAGCAGTGCAAATGTTTTGAATGTTCTGTGCATCTGTCAACTGGAAATTAATCTGTTACATTACTCACTTGTACAGGGGAGAGGGTGATTTTTTTTTGGGGGGGGGGGGAAAGGATTTTTGGTAAATGACATCAGTGTTCAACTTCCTTTCTTTTCTCTTCCCCTGGGAAGAGATCTTGTTGGAAAAAATCTGCTTTGTTCAGGAAAGCTTTAAGGTTTGTGTTGAACAGAAGGCTTGACTAGATAATTGTCCCCTGGTTCCTTGTGGTTTTATTGTGTATACAGCTATAAATTAAATGCTTTTGGTTAATAGTGTAGACTTCTAGTGATCTTGTTTCATTACTGAACATTCTTGAATAGTGTATTTAGATTCTACGTGATGAGCCACCTTACTTTAAAAACACCATGGATGGAAGTGTTTTAAAACTGTAAACTAATAATCTGTTTTGTATGTGTCTTTTTTATGAATTAGTTTTTGACTTTTCACACATTTGTTTCAGGATACTGTCTGCTTCCAAGAGCTGCTGCTGCTCTCCCAACTGTGCTCTTGTTTAGTTTTTGTTTGTTTTGGCGTAGTGCCCTCACTACTGTAAATACACATAAACATTGGCTTCTGGCCTTTCTAGTGAAACTTCTCATCAGATTCTGATCTCCTAGAAGTAATTGCTCATCTTAAGGCCTTTCTTCAATAGTGTGTGTGTGTTTTTTTTTTTTTTTTTTCCTAGGTTCTTGTGTGAGCATCAAAAACTTGATGTTAGGAGGGTGTGTACTCTATCAGAGGAGAGAGCTTTTTCAGATGCTTCCTAAGGTTTATTGATAGGAGCCTCTGCTTTTAACCTTTTCTTGGATATAATCCAGCCCATGCTAGTGGCTGCCCACGTGGGTGCACACAGCAAGTACCTCTGGTGAATGGGCAGGGTATGCTTTAGAGGGAGAGTGAAAGCTGGTGTTAGTGAAGGAGTGCAGCAGGAAGGCTTGGCCCTGAAGATTTCAAGGGCTTAGTTGCATATGAGTGTGTTTTTTGTTTTTTGGTTTTTTTTGAAGATTACATTTAAATTCTTACCTTTTACCAGTTTCTTTGAAAACTGCATCATGATTTTTGGGTTTTTTTACCAGATAGTTTGAAGACAGAGAACAGTTTTACTCTCAGCAGCGTTGCTTAATGCTGCAAAGTAATACCTGACCCTTCAAAAGCTTTTTCCTGGTTATTCCCAGATAAGCATAAGTTTTGATTGACTATACCCTAGCCATATTTTCTTACCTCTGAAAAGCATTACAGATTTTGGGCATCCTTCTTGTCATCTTAAGCATTTCTCAGATTCCCCCTCTTTCTGTCTGTTAAATAAAAACTTTGATAGGGATCAGAGGAGGAAAGTAGCAAAGCAGAGCAAACCAGTGCTGTTTTAGATATATATACATTGCATAATACGGAAAAACTGAAAATCTGTGCTTTAGTATTTGCCAATTAAATGTTTAGATTACATTAAGAAATAACGCCTGTTGGTGTGATGAGCGTTCTTGTTTTAATTTTCCTTGTTTTATCTCACTGTTTGTTATATTTCCTTAACTTGACGTTGGACAAATAAGAGAAACCACTCAGTTGTGTTTGTTTACTCTTAATTATGATGGATGCAGCAAATGCTGTGGGTGTTTGGGAAGCAAGTGCTGTTTGTTTCAAAAACAATTTTTCTTGAAATGCCCATGGGGAGATGCACTTGGAAATGTGCAGTCTAACCGCCTCGCTGGCGTAAAGCCCAAATACTGGCTTGGTATGAGAACCTCAGCATGTGCGTTTCCACTGAAGTAATCTCAGTTACGTAACTAGATTAATTAAATGACTCAAACTTTTATTCTGTAATACTGCTGTTATTCTGAAGGTCTGGAGACTGATTTTGTTTGTTTGGGTTTTTTTTTTTTTTTGCTTTTTGGGGGATGATTAAATTCACAGCTGGAGGCTCTTACTACATGATTTCAAGATCTTTAGGACCAGAGTTTGGTGGAGCAGTGGGACTTTGTTTCTACTTGGGTACAACCTTTGCAGGAGCAATGTACATTCTCGGTACCATTGAAATTCTGTTGGTAAGTACTATTTACACTTTAAGATTGAATTTGTGCTGTTTTGGGCGACTACAGAGCAATGCACCTGGTCTAAAATGCATTCTAGATTGCTGGTGACTTTTTTTAATGGTTTGTTGCTATATTTTGAGTGTGTCAATATTTTTATTCCATTTTGGATTACATGAAAAATTCCAACAATTTGGTGATCTTTGATCTAAAAACAAATTAATGGAGTGCTTGATGTGAGTTTCCTTTCTTTAAGTAGAACACCCAACAGAATTCGGTAACTGATCTTTGCTAATTTGTACCAAATGCAGCGTTTCTATATTAGCGTAACCTTTTTGTGCAATCTGAATACCAAAGGCCCCATAAACTGCTTTGTACCCCAACTACAGTACACATACATAGTTGCAAGAAAGTTATACGAATTCTAGTAAGACGTTTCGTTTTGGAATTTTGGAGACAGGAGGAGAAAGAAGCGATGACTTGTTCTTTTTGTATGTCTCGGAGTAGGCTACAGTGTAGTGCGAGGAAAAAGCAGAGCAGATGAAAACTAATATTGCTGTAGGCAGGGAAACATGAGTGCAGTTTTGAACCCGTTATTTACTAATTTCCAGTGTCCAGTGAGAATATTCCTATATCTCTTAAGTTCCTTTCATATAGATTTTCTTTCTCCTACAATTCAGAATAAATTGGAAATGAAAAGTAAATAGAAAACACTTCATTATTTTCCAGAAAACAACATTATTACTTAGATCAACCTTGCGTGACTTTGGAGACATGTTCAGATTTAAATCTGTGGGCTCGTAGCACTTAAGTCAGCTGTTGTATGAAAATGAGAAAGCACAGCACAAGAAATAGTGAAATGTCATATTAGACTGACAATCCACTTTTTCAGGGCCTGAAGCTTGCCATTTGGATTTAGTGATGTGAAGTCAGATATCTTGTAAGAACTAGTTTATTTTACAACTGTGAGGGAATCCATTTCTTCCTCACATGTCTGTCCATATATGTTCATGTTGCATGATGGGAAGTCTTTGTAAAATCAGTATCTATGGATCATGCTGCTTTTTGTTGTATTTCCTCCTTTCCTTTCCCAAGCACACAATGCGAAGATGGACATGTCTGAGGTGACTTAAAAGTAGTGCCTTGGAATTGAAAGGTTAGTTTCCTTCCTGAGAGCCAGTTTCCCCTGTTTCAGCTCCCCATTCTTCCCTTCTGACACTTTTTTTCAACTCTTGTTTAGCACAAGAAGTTTTATTTCCTTTTCTTGTTTCCCTTCTCCTCTCATGAGGTTTAAGGAGGATACAGATTTCATGGTACAACCCATTCTTTGTCTCTTAACCTCTCTATTTTTTTTTTTTGTTGCAAGTTCTCAATATATATTTTGTTTCGGTTTTTTGTCCCCTAGAGGCTTCATGCCTCTAGGCATACTGTTAAGTTATTCTACAAGGGAATCTTCCTTTTACTTTTTTCTTCCTTCTCCTGGAATTAATTTTCAATTTCATTGTTCTAGCCATGAGATCACAACTATGGGATTTTAAATTTGAGTGGCAACCACATAATAAGCAGTGAACACAGACAGCTTTACATGCCTCTTGGAAGAGATGCTTACTCTAGGTAACTGTGGCGTTAAGTCCTTTTAAGCCATGCTTTCACAAGGTCTGGGAGGACACCTCTTTATTCCCTGAGTAGAGTCCGTGGACTCAGTATCAGGCTAAGGTTCCCAGAATAACGTACAGAACTCTTTCAGCTTCTTCAGTGCTTGGCGCTGTCATCTGCAGTGGGGAAAGCTGCTGCCCGTTGCTAAGTTATGGAGAACATGAAGGGCCTATCTGCTATGAGATAGGTTCTTAATTCCTATCTCCCACTTCCTCTTCAGACTACTGGCTTTGAAATTTCAGAGTCCTGTAAGGAGGCTGTGGAAGAAAGCTGGTATGGCATTGGCCAGTTATGTGGCCCTGCCTCATACACAAGGGGTCAAAGATTGCCCTTCAGTATCATGCATGATATCAGAGACTGTGCAGATATGCAAGAGGTACCACAGAATTCATCAGCTCCTCAGTTCATGCTTCTTGGCACTTACTGTGACCAAAGCACACTCATGTCACTCTTACTTAAAAAAAAAAAAAAAAAATCCAGGACTCAACAGGGGTGAGGACCACTCCTAACTTGTTGGCTTGTGATCCCTGATTTTCAGTGACAACAACCAGCACTGTGCCACACTGGATTGGGTTTGGTGCACTGTTTCTTCTAATTACCAGCCATGCTGGTCTGTGCATTGCTATTAAACATGCATTGGGTTCAGCTATGGTATTCAAAGTAAAAGTTCTCCTGCCCCCAAATCCAAACCTAATATCTGATAGAGGACCTGGTCATAGTCACAGAGGACTAAGCTGTGTCAAACTGAACAAAGAAATTGTACTATTGTGACTTCAGATGTAAGGTAAGCTTGCTATGAAAAGTTTTTCAGGTACTGATATGTTTAAAGTATGTTACTTGAATTTTATGGAACTATAACAAAGGACGTATGGTATTGGAAACCTAATGCTGCTTAATGGGATTGTTTAATGAGCAAATGCTTCGAATGAATCTAAGAATGTCTGCTCTGAGCTGAGTGTTGGAGCTGACTTTTGTTGCAAGACTTTCAGCACGATCGTTTCAGAGGCACACTTCATTTAATGTATTAACACAGTAGCTCCCAAGTCCTCTTTGGAGTCCAAACCTGTGATATGGAAACTACTTGTAATAGCCACAGTTTTCACAAGGGGTTAGAAAGAATTAACGCTGTTGGTGTACCAGTTCTCAAGGGCAGTTAAGCTGGAAGGAGTAATAACACCTAAACACTCATTAGGGGTTTGTGTAGTATAAGGATATAAAGGATTCAGTTGAGCATTTTTACGCAAAATGTCTAATCACATTGACTTTAATGATTTTGAGCAACAGCTCTTAAACCTGTGAGGTTTACTCAGTTTTCCTCATACAAGGATCCCGCACTCCATGCGGGTGGTGCCCATGCGGACTTTCCCAGCTTGACTCCAGCCTGTGTTTGTTCCGGGCCCCCCTCCCCCCCTTTCTATAGCTATAGTGGTATGCAATAAGGTGCCCTTGCTAATAAGACCACACCTTGGTCCTTCTCCAGCCATTAATGTTTTTTCCCCCCCTAGCAGGGATATGAGTTTATATATGGGGTAGGAATTGAGAAGAGAAAAGCTGGCTGGATTTTATTTGTTATTATTTGTAAGCGTTTCCCCCAGATGCAGTACTTTCTCAGGAGATCCATCCTCATTCCTTTCCCCCCTCTCCCACTCTAGTCATTTTTATTCTGCTTTATTCTTTGCTGAGAATGTTGCTTGGTATACCTGCTAGTTTTCACGTTAATCTTTCAATTCTTACAGAACTAGAGGAGAGAGGACAAAATGTACAAAAGGACAACTTAATTAAAGCTTCATTGTACTTTAAAACAATCTGTGGCAATAGCTCAATAATAGGAAAAAATCTTGGAAGTAACTTTTCATTGTGTTTCATGATGCTAGAATTGCATAAGGATATTCATTTCTGAAAATAAAATGTTCGTTCTTCTCTATTTAAATATCCATATTTGGTGAATCAATATTTGAAAGAATAAAGCTGATATTGGAATAGAAGTTTAAATTTTGAAGTTCAGATAAACTTGGTTCTTCATGTGATGCTCATCCTTGAATCCATGATAGTTTTTCAGATTGCTTTCTCTTGCAGACCTACATTTCACCTAGTGCCGCTATATTTAAAGCGGAAGAGGTCGGTGAAGAAACAGAGCCTATGCTGAACAACATGAGAGTGTATGGAACATGCATTATTGTTCTGATGGCAATTGTAGTCTTTGTGGGAGTCAAGTATGTCAACAAACTTGCACTGGTCTTCCTTGCCTGTGTGATTCTTTCCATCATTGCCATATATGCTGGAGTCATTAAGACTGCTTTTGACCCACCTGACTTTCCGTAAGTGAAATATCATTTTTAAATACTACAGGCTATTTAAAAAAAAAAAAAAACAAAAACCCTGCTACAACCATTTTGTATTTTTAAAATATAAATATAATGACTTCAGTGATAGGCACTTAGGTGCTTTTTGTTCTCCTGAAGTGCTGATTTGAATCTTTGTCATATTGTTCATAAGACACATGCCACTCAAACCTTCTTTGGTTAAGGTTCGTGGTGTTTGTTCTTTAAGTGTGAATAGAGTAGTAAGGTGGTTTTGGTGACAATACATCTAACTGCTTTAGATAAAGAATTAAAAACTGAAAAGCTGTAGAACAAAGTAAAAACATCAGAGTTTTATGAATCATAGTTACTGAAGTAACACGCTTCCAAGCTTTCTTTATCTTGAGGAAACTTATGTTTTTCCATGCTCAAAACGAAGTATTGCATTCCTGAAAATTGCTTGCTTTTATAGGAAGAGTTTTTGTTACTAAAACTTAATTTTATTGTTGTCACACACAGCATACTGCCTTTGAACATCTCTAGCTTATATCTCTCTTCAGATGATTCTAAGAATATTTTTAATCATGCCATGGTGTCTGATTCTCAGTATGGGAGGTATATTTTTGTACGTTCTGCTATTGGGAGAAAACAAAACAGTACTACTAAACCCATTAGTGGAAGAGCTTGGGAACTGTATGATTGTTACAGTTCCCATAGCGCTCTGAAATGTTGAAGTTTGCCTCACAAATTAAAGCACTATTTGTGCACCAGCTTAGGTGGAAGGGTGTTTTGGTTTGTGTATATGGGATTTTTGTTTGTGGGCTGTGTGGGTATGTTTGTGCGTGTGGGTTTTTTTTTAGTGTGTGCAGCGTAGGTTTGTATGAGCTGTTTGATTGCCACACGTTATGATTCTGTGGGGGTTGCTTCTGAAATCTGTGCTATGCCAGTCTAAGTGACATCGAAAAGAGAATAAATAGCAAGATGACAACACCTACCGATTATACTAAGTTATTTTAGGTAATGAAGGCTGGCTACAAAGAACTGTACAAGGACCTGGCAGACGATGCTTACTGAATGAATTATAAAAATGGAGGAAATCCAAATTTTACTGGATTGGTGATGGGCTCTGAGCTGACTTTTCTACTCGAGCATGAGATTTGGACTGTAATGGATTTTTTCCAAGAAAATGTTGGCTTGTTATTCATCTTCTGTCAAAAACAAATATGATAACAGATGGTGTTAGGAAGGGTATTTGGAACAAAACGAGCGCAGCCACTTCAGTGCAGTTCTAATTCTTTCCACTCTTCCAACAATCTCGAAAGATATAGGTGAAGTGGAAGAAGAAGTTCATCTCCAACACTTGCCTTTAAGCTAAAGTATTGAACTTCACTATGAAAGATACGTAGACAGGGCTCTCCCATCTGGGAAAGATGACTGGCACAACTGAGACCTACAAAGTCATGGCTGGCTTGGAGAATGTAGTTGGAGAACAACTCTTGGTATTTTCCATCAAATGGAAGTAGAAGGTGGCAGAGCCAACACGAAGGTAGATGATTCTTTGTAGAATATGTAGATAAGCTATGGAACTTTTTGCCATAAGATGTTTTGGTTGCCAGATGTTTGAAAGGTCAGAAAGTGACCAGCAACGTTATGGAGAGAAGAAGAAAGAAGAAAAAAAATCAAGAACCATTAGGTACAAAGATGCTCCCTTCAGATAAGGAAGTCCCTGAGCCCCAAAAGCTCAGCTATTAGAATATTCAGAAGAAATATTTCTTTAAGCTTCTCCCATTCTTGTACAGTTCCCATGGTACCTGCTTTTGGCTCTCAAACGGGATGTTGCACAGGGTCGATATGCTGCCTGGTTTAGAATACCTCTTCAGTGACAAGTGGCTGCTTTTTACCATTTTTCACAGGCTTCCTAACAAAGGTTCTTCAGGAATATTAGACGTATACTGCCTGTGTATTTTGACTTAACTGCCTAACATGAATATCTTATAAAGATGAAAGAAGGAACATTAAATAAGTGTTATATATAATCTTGTTATCAAGCAAGTCTGGAGTAAACAGCTTCTGAACATTTGTGTAGTGAAGACTTTTGAGCAAAGAAATATGGTTTCCAGGTCATTCATGTCCAGGTGATTCCTTCATCTTGGGCATTTGTTTTTTGTAAAGCATTCTGAATTCTCTAATTTTCTTTCCATTCGAAGTGATTGATTGCTTCATACTAAGAATATGACACTTTTTAACCCTATCGTTGCTTCTAGATTGTGGGTTTTGTTTTGTTTTTTTCTTTAACCCTACTACATTGTACTTTCCTTTTGGGGTTTTTAGTATTTTGAGGGCCGCCTTAATGTTTATTTTCTGGAACAGCACGTGACACATCTACTTAACCTTACTTTTGGATATTTTTGGTCAGGCTCTTGTTATGTTAAAATATTCCTGTTCATTGTTGCTTGTTTGGTTTGCTATGTCTAAACTTGTGAAACTGCATGTCAGTCTCACGTTATTTAGTGGCTAAGCTGTTTGAATTAATTGTATTTTTGAAGAATAAATGACAAAATAGGTGTTAGTACTTTGAACAAAACAATTATAGCAGTAAAATTTAAGATATTTATGTGCAATAATGTACAAGAAATTATATTGTTTTAGTAGATGTTGCATAGCTCATAACACAGATACTAGAAATAAAGAATTTCTGAAGAAGTCTAATGGACAAAAAAGGCTTAATGTGCAATGATCTGCTGAAGGATCCACTGTTTGATTTTGTTTTACAGTATCTGTCTTCTTGGGAACCGTACGTTGTCAAAACGCAACTTTGATGTCTGTGCCAAATTTACTGAAAGCAATAATGAAACAAAGACTACAATGCTGTGGCGTCTCTTCTGTGATAGCTCATCGCTCAATGCCACGTGCGATGACTACTTTACTCTCAATAACGTAACAGAAATTCAAGGGATTCCGGGAATAACGAGTGGAGTTCTCCTAGGTATGTTGGAAAGCACAGTGATTCAAAGCTTTTGGACAGTATTGGCTTGGTCTGTAGCTGTCTAGTAATGTAGTGGGTTGCTCCTGCTGGTCACTAGTTCTTCAGCTCTTCTGTTTGCTTTGTGCAAGAGTGCTGCCTGGAGCATGCTTCCTCCTGTAATGCTTCTACATAGTTTTAGGAGCTTAGTGTCAAATGCTTTGATTTGGGGATTACTGGGGATTTATGAGGACTCTTTCAAATGCTGCCATTCTATCAAAAAGGAATGGAGAAGTGTTTACATGATATAGTAATGTTTTGAGTGTGGTTTATTTTGCTTTTACTTTCCAGTCTAGCATTTGGTCAGGAGGCTTTGTAGAAAGTACTTGGATTTTTTTCTATTTCCATTTCTGTATGGTTATGGGAACTTGGGATTCAAGGTAATTGCGATGCACTCTGGCTCATAAGACTCACTTTGAACGTGTAGTGGATAGTATTGTATAGAAACAAAGAATGTCTGATGGAGAAAATGATGTTCTGATGCCTCCTCCCCCATGTCTCCTTTAAAAAATTTGACTATAAAAATGTACAACATTATTTGAGGATAGGGACAGCAGGGGATCCTACTACTGCTGTGGTAATTGTTTGAAAGGTCCATACTAAAGTGTCTACATACGTACAAAGACATGGAATGAAAGAGTAGGCTGCAGTGAGTCTAAACTTGTGTATAAAATCACACAAACTTCCTCAAAATCAAAAACAAAATCCTTCTGCACTGGAATGTTTGCAGTGAACTTGGTTTAGGGTTTATTGTCATGTGTTTTGTTTGCCACAAGCCTATGTACTATTTTCTGAATATTTATAAAGTATTTATTTTGCTACTCTACGTTCTTTTCTAGCCTCAAACTTTCTTTTCACATTTTTTGCTACAGTTAAAGCTTTAAACTGCTGTTTAGCTTCTAGGGCTTTCAGTCTGAGTACTAGTTTGTTTAATTTTGGAATTAAAAATGTGATCTGGCTCTGACCACTGATTAACATGCTTTTGAACTTGTACTGCTGTATAAAAACACACTTTGCTTTCCTAATGTCACAAGTACCCACTGAGGTTTTCATGGAACACTTTTATAATGCCCAGATTTCATTAATAATCATTGAGCTTTGAGTCAGCTCTCAGTCTAAGGAATGTTTTCCTATGTGCATCACTGGACACTTATCTACAGTGAATTTCATCTGAGTCTGGTATAGTTTTTCTGTAGTTCTCTGCAGTTGACCCTTGCTTCTACAACTGCATAATACCAGCAAGCTTTTTCATCTTGCTCCTTGCTTCTTTTTCTAGGCTGCTTATGACTGCATTGGGAAGCATAAAACCTGGTACAGATCCTAGTAGAAGTTTACTGGTGACTTTACTGTGTTGTAAAACTGAATTTACATTTACTTTTCCCTCTTGTTTTCTATCTGAACTTTTTTTTTATACGTGTGAGAACTTTTCCTCTTATCCCACACCTACTTAAGATCCTTTACCCAAGGAAGCTGCTAAAAATGGGGGAAATCCAGGTGGACTAAGCTAAGCATATCATCTTCATTTATGTTTCCCCTCGAATAATTGAATACACTTGAGGGACTACTTTCTTCTGCAGAAGTGATGCTGAGACTTCCCCTGTTCCTCAGAACTCAAGAACAGTGTAAATAGGTGCTGGTTTTGCCTGAACTTGGAGATGATACCTGTATGTATTATCCCATAATACCCATCCTTCTATTCATTGCTGTTGTTGCTACCAGTTGGCCATGTGCAGATGTTACTTGTGAGACTTTAGTTTCCTTCTCTCTGGAACTCCTGTTTTTTTAAAAAAAAAAAAAAAAAAGTTGACCTCTGATTTGTCATATTTCAGTTCTTGGGTTGCAGTGCAGGCTCAGGTAAACTCAGCTCAGGTACCAGCTCAGGTCTCGCAGTATACTTGGATGAGCACGGTCCTGCTTGCTGCATATGGGCAGCCATTTGGGTACGTAATGTGAGTTTGAACTCAACGGGTAAAAGATTTCTCAAGGAGGATTCTTCAAGGAGGACTTATCTTCAGCGTTGAGTTGGGAACTTTTGGGAAAGATCTGTGTGTAAGACAAAAGATCATTTGATTCATAGGGATATTCGGGTCCCCCCCCCCCCCGGAAATGGGAAAATGACACTGGCTCTCATTTTCTTCCTTGTAGATAACCTGTGGAGTACCTATTCAGAAAAAGGATCAATAGTTGAGAAAAAAGGTCAGTCATCAGTTGCTGGATCAGAAGACACAAAAATTGCTGGACGCCCGTATGTTTTTACAGACATCATGACCTATTTCACAATGCTTGTGGGGATTTATTTCCCATCTGTGACAGGTAAATACAACTGTTTTTCATGTATGAGGATGTGTTATAGCTGAAAGACTTTTGTGTTAACGTTTATTAATGGCTCAGACGATTCCTAGTCTGTGTGTCAGAGTCCTATGTAAATAACACTCTAGTGCTAGAGGTGCAGATGGTTGCTGGTTGTTATAGGGGTTCTAGTGCTTGAACCGATTCCTTGTTTCAGGCCTGTTTCCTAGATTTAGAAATAAAGAAATCTCCGCATGTTACTAAATGCTTTTTCAAAATAAGATGTTGTTCAGCAGAAGATTACATATCTTTATAGTATGTTCTTGAAATGCCTGGGACAACTGTTTCAGGCACTCAGGCAGTCAACTGTCTGCAATTAGCTTACATTTCCAAGATTTTTGTAGCTAACCACTAGAGAATTCATGTCAGGAGCAGAGAGTCATTGCATATTGCTTCCCTCGGGTCTTGTTTGACTGAAACAAACTGAGGAAACTTTCTTCAAAAGTCCCAGATTAAGTAACTGTAATCTCAAGTAACAAAACAAGGTTTAGTTGCGAGGTACCACTGCCTCCTGGTAGAATTTGAGGGGACAGGTTCCTTCAGACTCTCTCCTAGGTGGCTCCTGTTTTTACTTATTTATTTTCATCCACGTCTCGTGATGTATTGGTCTCTGGTAGGATTTCATCATGTGGCACTTGACCAAGTTGCCTTTGCACTGGAATGAAAGGGTGAGACGGCAGTAGTCGTCAGTTATTGTATGACTTATCTGCACTTCTCCTGGGGTGTGTGCTAGAAAATACTTTTGTTATTGTGTTAAATTCAAACAGGGGTGTGTGCCTACAACCTCCTGGCCATTGCTCTTGTACTCCTTTCTTTTTGTTTGTATTTTTATTTTTTCAATTTACTGTTTGCTTGTACACCTCATGGGGTATGGTCCCTTCAGTGGAAACCTAGTGCATTTGGGCAAGCTGACTAAAATTGCTAAATCCCTGTTAGTTTATAGCATCTGTCCCTAATGCTTTGCTATATTCTATCTATTTCTCAATTTAAAAAAAAATTAACATTTGTTTGTTTTTTTGTTGAGTATAACTGCAGAATAACTTTTGTCAGTGTAAGTGTTTTTTCTTCTGAGCCTTCTGAAGTTTTTTTTTAAACTCCATGGTGGAGTAATAACCCAAACTTCTGAATCAAATAAAAGTATAAACTGAGTGTTTATACAGAAATTGAATATACTTCTCTAGCCTGCTACAATGGAAATTGTGTTTAATGAGACTTATAATTTTTTTGATGTATAAATTTGATATTTTTTTTGATTCTTTTAAGGTATTATGGCAGGCTCAAACAGGTCTGGAGATCTTAAGGATGCTCAGAAATCTATTCCTACTGGAACTATTTTGGCTATTTCAACTACATCTTTTATTTGTATCCTTTATATTGTAACTTAATCCCCCTCCCCCTCTTTTTGTGCATATTGCTACAGATAAGTATAGTTATTTCATTGTAAAGTCATTTTAGTTATCTTGATATAGTATTAATTGAACCTAAACTGAAGTAAATCCGATATATAATTTTTGACTAATGCATTAAATTCCAAGTGACAATTGATGGTTTTAGTTAAGCGATACAGAGGATTTTTGGTATCATGTTTCAGTTGGCAGATTGCTTTGTTATTGTGCTCGGTATAACCAGCAAACTGGTTATATCTTAAAGCAAACTACCAGCAATTTGATACCTAGAACAAGCAAATGCTTATTTATATGAGAAAACACATGTTCTGCTGCATGGTGAATGAGCTGGTAATTTTCAGTATCTTGGAAATGAATTGTGGAACAAATGTTATCTTAGCCAAAATTAACTAAAAAGCTGTAAGGGGAAAAGACTTTTTAAAAAAAAAAAAAAAAAAGCACACTTTGCTTATTGTGGAAACCTGGATTTCTTCCCTATGTGAAGAATTTTATATCCTCTCTCTATATAGATTAAGATAAGTATGTATGAAAACTATGAATAGAAATAAGTGAACATTATATGTTGTTTTATATATATATTGTATAGTGTAATCTTCCTTCAGTCTCAACAATAGATCTCTCCTGCATAGTACTGTTTGGTGCCTGTATAGAAGGTGTGATATTAAGAGATAAGTAAGTTGCATTTAACTTTGATTTTCATAAGAAGCATGTCTGTTTGTGGACTATGTTGCTCTGTAGCTGAAACTGTTGGTAAACCAGACAAGCTTGTAGACTGTATCTCTTCCACAGCTAGAAGCAGAGCCTGAGCTACGCGTGTGTTCGGCAGAGTTGTCCCTAATGAAACATCCCTGAGAGAGCGAAGCGGCCTGGCGTTTTGGGTGCCACCTGGGGTGGGAGGAGGCATGCCCTTGGGGAGAGGTGCTGTGCTCCTTAGCAGCCAAGACCCAGGAAGGGTTTTGGCAGCTGCATAAGCAGGAGAGCTCGTCAGGAAGACTGTAACGCACCACCAGGCTTATTTCTACTGCATCCATGACTCCTGTTTTGTTTTAAATTACCACACGTAGACCAAGATTCCTGTCAGTTGAGCTTTCACCCTTGTAATTTCCTGAGGATATATAAGGCGCAGTATGAAATGTGATGAGCGCGTATAGAACCTCCAGATTTTTGATAACTCTGGCTGTGGAGAGAGGCTGTGCTGCTTGTGATGCTGGGGCAGTGTGCTGGCAGCCTTCGCACTCGCTTCCCTGCCACTGTCTGGTCCTCTTTCCTGCTGGCGCAGGCGCGCGGTTGTTT